AGCCAGAAGAAGGGGTGGAGTGGACTGGGCTCATCTCTGTGCTTTTCCCCTCAACCCTCTTGTTGCCTTTTCACCTTGCTTTTCACCTTGTGGTGTCTGCTGGCGGAGGGACAGGGAGGGACAAGGTCTTCTCTGGGGTTCCAGGTTATGTCATGCTGCTGGCCCTTGGGCCACACTTTAAGAAGCAACCCTGTGCCCGGATCTCCCTCCGAGCAGAGGATTAGGAAAGAGATGGAGATTCACTGGAGGTCCTCACGTGCTGACTCAGGGTTGTACCTTTCTACATATTGCCCCGTTGAACCCTCACAACCAATCCTAGAGAAGACTGGCTAACAATTCTCCTCATCCAGTGGGAAACTGAGACTTGATGTGATAAGCAGCCTTCGCAGGGTCTCACATCACTGCGAGATCACTGTGCGTTTGGGGGCTGGGGTTATGATCCACACAAACCTGACACCATAGATAGTGACTCCTGAACCCACTGTACCCTGGTCCCGGGAAAGCAGATGATGCACACTGGGAAGGTGTTTTAATTATAAGGGATGGAGACCATCAGACAATAGTCCGGGACTGATGGTGACAGCAGACAGCAGAAGGAGAGACCACCATGGGGTGGGGGGAATCTAAAGGTATCAAGATCGTGTCTCCAAGGACCAGTCCCCATGTCATCTTCTAACAATTTCGGGAGACTCTGCCCTAGTGGACATGCAACATGCTTGCTATTAGTGACAGAGTGGATTTCACTTAGCATTTGCCAGTGGAATGTCCCTAGAAGAGGAAGTTCTCCTGTGAACTTCATATTTTAGAGAAGCTACCAAGCTTGTCAGGCCTCCACTAAGAATTAAGATCTCAGTGCGACCTATAGAGAGGGTAGTTTTTGAGAATGTTAAGTCAGCTATGACGGAGCAGGGAACTGGGGAAGAAGCCAGGCATAATGGGGAAGAATGTGCAGAGATTTAAAACAAAACAAAAACCAGGCACCTGACTGGCTCAGTTGGTGGAGCATGAGGTTCTTGATCTTGGGGTTGTGAGTTCAAGCTTCGTGTTGGGTGTAGGGATTACTTTAAAATCTTTTTTAAAAACCCACACACATCATCTTACACCTGTCAGAATGGCTAAAATCAAAAGCAAGAGGGGTGCCTTGTTGGCTCAGTCATAAGAGCATGTGACTCTAGATCCCAGTGTCTTGAATTTGAGCCCCACGTTTGGTGTAGAGATTATCTAAAACAAGATAAACGTCAGAAAAAAAACAGGGGTGCCTGGGTAGCTCAGTTACTTAAGTGTCCAACTCTTGATTTCGGCTCAGGTCATGATCTCATTGTCGTGAGATCAAGCCCCATGTCGGGTTCGACACTAGGCATGCAGTCTGCTTGGGATTCTCTCTTTCCCTCTCTCTCTGCCCATCCCCCACTTGCATTGTCATTCTCTCTCTCTCTCAAAAAAAAAAAACAAAAAAAAAACAAAAACACAAGAAACAACAAATGTTGGTGAGGCTGTGGAGAAAAAGGAACCCTCATAAGCTGTTGGTGGGAAAGCAAACTGGCACAGCCACGGTGAGAAGACAGTACGTAGGTTCCTTAAAAAAATTAAAAATAGAACTACCATATGATCCAGTAATTCTACTGAGTATTTACCCAAAGAATACAAAAACCACTAATTCCAAAAGATATACACACCTCGATGTTTATTGCAACATTATTTACAATAGGCAAATTATGGAAGAGAGAAGTGTTCATCCAGAGATGCGTGGGTAAGAAAGACGTGGTATACATGCACAATGGAATATTGCTCAGCCATAAACAAGAATGAAATCTTGTCATTTACAACAACATGGATGGATCTAGACGGAATAAAGCTAAGCGAAGTAAGTCAGCCAGAGAAAGACAAATACCATATGATTTCACTCATGTGTGGAATTTAAGAAACAAAACAAATGAACAAAGAAGAAAAGAGACAAATTGAAAAACAGACTCTTAACTCTAGAGAACGAACAGATGGTTACCAGAGGGGAGGTGGGGGAGATGGGGGAAATAGGTGATGGGGATTAAGAGTACACTTATCCTCATGATGAGCACTAAGATATAGAACTGTTGAGTCACCACATTGTACCGGCTGAAATTAATATAACATTGTATGTTAACTATACTGGAATTAAACTAAAAACTAAAGTAAAATAAAATATAAAGGAAAGGAAAAGAAAAGAAAAGACAAAATAGAAAAGAAAACCCACAGGCCCAAAATGGCGTCACTTAAGTTAACACATACCTAACTTCAGTTTCAACCTCATATAACCAAGGCACAGAGTCACAAGTGCACCTGCTCCGAGGATCCCAAACAGACTGGGTTGGCCACATGCTGCTGACAAAATCTGAAGGCAGAGACATAAGCGGAGGTGGACAAGAAAGGGATTTACTCCAGTGAGGCCAACCCCGGGGAAGACGCAGGACTAACGTCTCACTCTGTCTCCAGAGTGCTGAAAATATTCATAGGTTTATATAAGGAAAATGTGGGATGAAGGGCAGTGGGGACATGTGGCTGGGCAGTAAAGGTCAGGTTGATCACGGTCTTGGGATTAGTCATGCTGGGTCTTGCTGGCCCAGGGCAGTCTTTTTATTGCTTGAGGGAGTAGTTTCAGTTCCCAACGAGGGATGCTGTGCCTGCAAGGTCTTTTGCCTGAGTGAAGAAATACGCTGGAAAGAAGAACTTAATTAGAAAGTACAGACCAAGGTCAAAGTGGAGATGATTAAAGTCCTTGTTCTCTCCCAGAAATAGTCTTAACCTCATTTGTTCAGAGAGCTCCTCCTTCCACTTTCCCCCTTATGGGGACAAACTGCCCCGCAGATTCTTCTGGGGCTTCGCTGTAAATGTTCACGTCTTTTCAGTGACACCCGCCCCTTCAGGGGGTTAGTGGTCTGGATCCTAAGCATTGCCTTCAGTCTCTTAGTAGATGCAGCAACGTGTGAAACGCAATTACGTGCTTGTCGATCTTATATTCTTCCAGCTTGCTAAGCTCTCTTGTT